AGAAAAAATGACTGCATTCCAAAATGAAGCATTTTGGCAAATTTCTACCTTCTTTATATGAAAGGAATATACATGTATGCATATACATGTATTCTCTCATAGCATAACCATTACCACAAACTCAGCAGCTTGTACTCAGTGTTGTAACTAACAGTCTAACAATTTTTTTCTTTCTTTCTTTCTTTTTTTATTTTTTTGCCAGTCCTGGGGCATGAATCCAGGGCCTGGGCCTCTTTCCTGAGCTTCTTTTGCTCAAGGATATCACCTTACCACTTGAGCCACAGTGCCATTTCTGGCTTTTATTTGTTTGCTTATCTATGTGGTAATGAGGAATCGAACCCAGGGCTTCATGCACGCTAGGCAAGCACTCAACCACTAAGCCACATTCCCAGCCTAAGTCTCACAAGTTTTGTGGAGGTAATAGGTGGTGATGCTCACGGCTCAGGGGTTTATAAAACTCTTATGAAAAGTTCTGCAGGCACTTTCATTTTATTTCACTGGGGATAATCTCAACTCAAATTCATTCATTTTCTCAGAGGATATTAACTGCTTTGGGTCATGGGATTGAGGCCCTCATCTCCTTGCCAGTCTTCAGAATTTGGATGTCATCTGCGTTGCTCTTCAAAGCTGCATCTATCTCCAAATCCAGCAAAGAGGAAATTTTCCTTGCGTAAAATATCTGTGGCTTTGACTGAATTTCTGACTTCCTCTGTCTCTGATCTGTAGGCCCAGATGCAACCACAAAGTGAGATGATCTGTAACATGTTCAAGAGAGTCCTGACTCCAGAAAAACATAGTAACCGTGTCATCAAGCCTCTGATAATTATTACTGTTGTCATAAATCATTACCACTACGATCTTCCTCATTACCCTGAGACTTTCAGAGTTAGGTGTGCTTTAGATGCACAGAAGAACAGACTCAACTATGATCTGAATTCTGTGTCCATCTGTTATTTTCCTGCTGGACAAATGAAGAACTATGAACGGGCATCTATTTGGATGTCCTTACATTTTAAACAGCACTTGAGAAAAATCATCACACAGTCCTTGATTGAAGGTTAAAACATTCTGCAGCCGGGTATTTGTAGATGGTTCTGTGGGGTGTTTGTCCACACTTATCTCCAATGCCTTATTAGGTAATAATGATTTCCAAAGTAGACACATGGTCCACTTAGAAACATTTAGAAATGTTCAGAAAGACATGCAACCTCAAGTGGGTGACTGGAGCCAACAGTGGAGGAAGCCAGGATAAATAGATAGAAGGCCTAGAAAGAAGGGATTGCACTTCATACGCATGGGGACAGGAAAGTAAGATATATTCATAAAGTTGTGCAGGTGGGAAGTGTGTTCAGCAGATTTATGTATTATGCACATCCGTCTCATGCCATACAGGGGATAGATTTCAGATAACGGCAGGCAGCAGGATGTGTTCAAATACCTTACAGGGTCTCATGGGATAGACAAGGACATTGACTCAGGTAGGTCCCCGGCCACAGAACATGCAAGAGCAACACAGTGTGCTGGGCCTGGAAGAGGACAGGATAGCAGACCAAGACCTCACTGACTGGTCTAAAGCCTACAGAATGAGACTGGCCTTAGATAGCCAATGATTAGGGCTGGGATACCCAAAAGACAGACTCAGTTATGATACCAAATATAATGTTCTTGCCCCAGTGTGGATCATTATTGGCAGCCACAAAGAAGGTTAAGAAGCCATATTCTTTCATTGTAGGAAAGAAGAAAGCCCCAGCAGGTTTTAAACACATGGTTTGACTAGGTTCCAAGTGAGAAAAACCAAAGCAGGGAGGAAGTGGAAGGTGAACCAGTCCTCGAGTGAAATGCACACTCATTCCTTTCCGGAAGGCCGTTCACAACTACCCGCCTTACACAGCAACCATTTAATCAGCTCGCGTTCTGGAAACTCAATACACGTTTGGATGTTTAGAAAATCTCTGAAGAGTTTAAGAGAACACAGCATTCCTCTTTGAAGTTGCTTCTGACCTAGATAGAGGGATGCAGCAGTTGAAGCCCTGAAACAGTAAGCATCCCCAGACCCCCCTTTCCCGGCTCCCAGTGTTCTCACTCATCCTTCAGTGGATTGCTACAGCATTCATGGTTACAAATGTGCTGTAATAACATTACCTTAAGAAGCTCAAATATTGATTTGACTACTCAGAAGAACGACTTTGAAATCAGTTGGAACAAGTTCCTATCAACAATACAGGCAGAAGGAAAATCAAATTGTATCTGTGTCATTCCTAGCGGTTTCTAAATACATTTTTTGAAAATATTACTTGGTTTTCTTTCAATTTCTCCTAGAAATTCTCTCAACTTTCTAGTGTTATCAGAGGCATGTATCAATATCAAAAATCAACATAGACTTCTTTAGCTCTCCTCCTTGGTAAAATCTGTTGTTTTACTTTAAATAACCATCTTGATGTGCTAACTAGGTTGGGTTTTTTTCCCCCATTAATGAAGACTTGAATTTCCAGAGGTTCATTTCTGAATTTGAATAAACAAGTAGGTTATGATTTAAAAAGTAACTATGATAGCCATTGGGGGGGAGGAGTAGGAGTTCCTCTCCTGCCCTATCAACAAAATGTCTGTATTATACAAATACAGATTCATACATTAGAGATAGCTAAAATGCAAAATAATGAGGCTTGATGAAAACGTATGGCAAGGGGAGATAATTAGGTAGTGTCATCTTTATCTTCACTTGTCCCGTGGTTGAATGCAAATTTAACACAGATCTGGGGCTCATGTACAGTGGGTTGTAAGCCAGGGACAGAGGACACAGGATAAAGAAACAAATGCTATCATGGAGGCTTTCTTCCATCTAATTAGGTATTTCAATTATTTGTTTCACTCAAGGCACTTTGGCTGGCCCTAAGAGAAGAAAGCAATTCAAGGAAACTCACACGGAGGAAGCAGAGAGGTGTTAGGGAGTTTGTAGGTGATCTCAGAGAGGCAGCGGGTGGAGTGAAGCCCGTCCTAATGAAAACTGACCTGCCGGGCTGGCTTTTGGGAGCCATCTACTCTCTCTCTCTTGGGCTGTCCTCTGTCACCAGAGTCCTTCATGGCACATAAGTTACTATGGCTGCCATCTTTTCTCCCATGCACCACGGAATAGCACAGATTTGGTTCACCATTTCTGATTTTTTTTCACAGGCAGGTCATTAGATGAATTACTGTTGGGTCAAATGTCATTCCAGATAAGTCCAGGCTGCTTCCTAAATCTGCTCTTGACCAACGCTTAGTAAAAGCTAAGACTATGGCAAGATTTGGTCTGAACTGGTTACAGGTGAAAAAAACAAAGCAGGAAGTAGGCCATGGAAAGCTTAGAAATGTGACTCAGGCAGTAAACAGACTAATAATAAAAAAGAAGGTTTCAAAGCCAAATAGATGCCCATTCAGTTCCGCAGAAAAACCTGCACAATCTGACAGTCTTTGCCTCTGAAGAGGTTTGCGCTTTAACCAAAAGCTCTTCCAACACATACAACCACGTGGAGTAAGGCAAGTGCGGGCTTACAACTCTTGCTGCCCTTGACTCATCGTCTCTTCATTCTCACAATATCAATTCACTAACCTTTTCCTCTCCATCTTCTCTGGCTAATTTGGATGTTTATAATTTGGACTCCTCTGTGATGAGTTTCAGAGAGCACAATACACTGAGCTGCAGCATACATGGCCCACGGTATCACATAGTCCACATGTATGTAGAGACAGGTATGTTCCCGAATGTCTTCAATCAGATTTGGACTGGAAAATGATACACCATGCACACTGTGACTACAGCCTAACCATAGGGTGAACAGTTCCACGGGTCAACCTGATTGCACTGAGGAAAGAACAATGGGAACGATGTAATCACATGACATATGCCAACTCTGTACAACAGCAGGGAGCTACAAGTGAATCAAACTCACATTTTGGCTTGCAAAATTAAGTGGTTGGAAAGCTGAGAAACAAGAGTCACTGTCCACCTTCCAACTATGACAGGCCTCGGGGCTGCTTCTCACCTGTGGATGACTAATGCAGTTAACATGATTGACAGCAATGGGGGAGGGAAGATCCAGTAAGAGGAGAAGTATAAGTCCTAGTTACTGTATTGAGAAGAAATAGCCCTGCCCTACCTGCTGGTCTCAGTGGTTTTCATGAGTGAAAAATTACTATGGTAAGTTGCTAGTAAGTCAATGAAGTTTTGGAGTTTTTGTTTTGTTGTTTGTGTGGGGTTTTTTTCTACTTTTTTTTTTTTTTTCCTACTACAGTGCTCTGTTTACTTAGCTAAAAATCTCCCTAAAAATCACAGAATGCCTCTAACAAAATGCTGCTGCCCAGCAATAACAGCTAAACCTTATGGAGCTTCGTGTATATTTCTTTCACATACTCAGATACTCACACACCCTTCCCAAATAGAGAAACGTGAGCAAAGAGATTTTAAAAATTATCATCTCAAGCAATCTCTAACTTGATAATCCTGCCACTCTTCATGGCTGGGTAAATATTTTCACACATTGGGAATTACATGTGTGGTTGAGATTCAAGAGGCAATTTTCTAATTTAGCATGAAATATTAACATAACAATGTAGGTTGCGAGATTCTCACTCCTACATTTCAGGAACCTGCAGATCAGATCACTTCAGAAAGTTCTGAGCCAAAGGGAAAGCTTGCGATCTGATCCTGCTTCTCCAGATTCCCAGCAAACAGGCTGAAAGCCAAGCCTCCCACTGTGCAAAAGTACACATCATTTGCATTCAGGGTAAGTGTTCATTTTGTTAAAAAGGCGTTTCAAGTATGAATCAGGCCATTCCGGACCCCTTCGGAACATCTTAAATCTGGTCAGTTGCCATTCCTTCCAACATCTGACCGAACATGACAACCCGCCACCTGGATTTTGTAAGGAGATCAACAACAACAACAACAAAAACCCACCACAGTTTACTCTCACTGGCACCAGGAAGCACCCAGAAGGAAGGGAGAGAGGGGAGTGCGGTACCTGATGCTGCTCACGCTGCCCGTCTCTGATCCGAGCTTGCATCGCTCCAGCTGGCTAGCTACGATCTGACGTTCGGCCTCCAGCTCTCGGGTTAACCTTTCAAACTGTAATTCCTGAAAGAAACCCACCAAAAGAAACAAAAACAAACACCGAGTGAATCCTATCATCTATATGAAACCAGGGATTCAGATCCAAATCACATGATGTTTCCAAGGTGTGAGACTACTACAGAATATTGCTGTAAAATATGACAGGGATATAAGAGTTGGGCGTTGGTGGCTCGCTCCTGTAATTCTAGCTACTCAGGAGGCTGAGATCAGAAAATCTGTGGTTCAAAGTCAGCCCAGGCAGAAAAGTCCGTGAGACTCTTATCTCCAATGAATCACCAGAAAGCCAGAAGTGGCACTGTGGTTCAAAGTGGTAGAGCACTAGCCTTGAGCAAAAGAGCTTAGGGACAGTGCCTAGACCTTGAGATCAAGTCCCAGGACTAAACAAAAAAAGAAAAAAAAAGACAGGGATTTGAAAATCACACTGGTTTTAGGCACTGGCAGTGAGTTGCTGGATAAATTATTCAAGTTATTAACTTATTCAAGTTATTAAACTTGAAACTCATCTATGAAATGGGTTTAAAATATCAGTCCATAAAAATGAAGGTGAGGATTAAGTGAGATACTATCCATGCAAATTTAGCAGATGGTTTTGTTTCTTTATAATAACTTGATTCTCATATTACTTACATATCATAAAAACCCATAGTTTACATACTTTCAATTCCAACAGAATGACACTAATATGGCATCTACACTGTCTAATTACTAAATGCATTATCTTTGAGATCTCTGATGTATCACCTTTAAGTCAATGCAATCAATGAAAAAGGCTTTCCAAAGCTGATACTAAGCTTTGGATGGGCTTCAATGGAAACCAATTCGGTCAGAACTTCAAAACACCTCAGCCCTTACAACACTCTGTGTCATATTTTAGACTTTATGTTTTTTTTTTCCCATGTACTTTCACAAGCATAATTATAGTAAATCACTTATTTTCACTAAAAATCCAGGAAATCCATTTAAATCCAGTTAAATCCAACTGACTTCTTAGAAATCATGTAATATCTGCACAGCTGTATTTGAAGGGTAAAAGAACAAGCCTGGAATGTCTACTCCTACGGCAAAATAGGACAACAGGTTAGAGACTCATTTGGGAGAATTAAAATGCTAAAGCTGCATGATTTCTCTTTCCAAGTGAGTAGATTTGCCAATGCCAGTTAGCTCCATTGTAATCCTAGCTAGGCTGATCTAAAGGATCATAGCTTGAGGCCAGCCTGAAAGCACAAAGTAATTAGACCATATCTGCCAAGCAGCTATCAGAAAGCAGGTCCAGCAACCTGTCTGCTAGTGTGGATCCTGAGTTCAAACTCTATATCACCCCTCTTGAAAAAAGTAGGCTTTATTTATTAGCTATCCTCACAGACTCTTGGATGAGATATCAAAAACAGTACATTTCATGTTCTCTACATATTGAAAATACCCTGGCTCTTTTCCACATAAGTAGTTTGATTCTTTATGTTGATATTATTTTGGGTTTGAAAAAAAGCTACTTTACAACCCTTTATATTACTAGATCTGAGGAGACATTATTGTTTAATGTTCAGAATTTTATTCCTACCTACTTTTAAGGGCACTGAGTATTATTGCAAAGACTTATACTACAAGATCTCTGCTGGACAAATCTTAGGCATTTAGCCTCCCTTTCTCTCTAATTATCCTCTTCTAGGAGATTTTTCATTTCCAGTCTATAAAATACATTGTATCCTATGGCAGTGTAACATGTGTAACAGGAAACAAACTCATACCTTTGATAACACCTTTAAGCCACAAAACAAAAGACCATATAAGGGCCCTAGTAGCTAGATGGAAATTGATAATTTGTGTTGTCCAAATAGGAATATTCAGATTACTGAATTCACCCCTCTATGTTAAAACAGAAAGTCATGGCCACATGGTAGAACAGTCTGAACCTGGGTTCATAAATCATAGCCTCCTCCTAGAATGCACACTAGCCTCTGTCTGGCTCTTCATGCTTTCTTGGTGTTTGTCTAAATTGTCAGAACTTCCAAACTAGCAAAAAGCTAGAAAGTTCTGCCTTCCTCTGTGCAGATCAACATATCCATGTGGCTTAGCATTCCTTCTGTCTGAAGGATTTTTTTGAACATCTCTTTTGTAGTATTAAGGCCAGTGAATATTTTACATTTCACATGATTTGGAAACATCATCATTTAGCTCTCAAATTTGAAAGACATTATTTTTTCTTCTGAGGTCCTCTTACTTGTATGACTTCTGACTAAAACATAAAAAGAATCTACAGTGATCTTTAATATGTACATACAGAAAGAAACCTATTTCTGTGCTTCTAGAATTTTCTCTCCACCACTGCTTCTGCCTAAACTGACTATAATTCTCCTTGGTGGAGCTTTCTCCCTATGCTTTGTGTTTGAGGTTTGCTGAGTTTTTCCCACTCATGGATTTATAGTTTCTGTCACATCTGAAACTTTGCAGCAATTGTTTCTTTGCCAACCTTTTCCTCCCCTCTCCTTTCCTTTAGCAATACACAGTGAGAATGTCTGCATTTCTTGTATATGTCCCTCAGCTCCCTGAGCCTCTATATGATTTTTTTCCATTTTATGTAATTTCTATTGGTACTCTCAAGTTAAACAATCTTCAGCTCTGCCAATGCATCATCTACCATTAATCATCCTGTGTATTTTTATCTCAGAAATCAATGAATCAACTATCTCTTCAAGTTTCTTCCGAGTCTCTTTTGCATCTTCCATGTCTACTGGGATTTTTCACCTATGCGATACACTTAAAACTGCTTCAATGCCCTTATTTGCTCCTTCTAACATCTGTGTGGCTTTCAGTTGATTGATCTTTCTCAGTCCAGGTTTCTTTTCTAATTTTTCTTTGTTGGACTCTGGATACTGGGGTGTTCCTAAGGCTTTTGCAGTTCTGTTGGTACTAGTAAATCACTCAGGGGCAGTTTAAATTCTTTTAACTCTTACTACAATTATTTGTTAGGGCAAACAGAGTATCACCTAATAGAGGGCTAATTATCCTTCCCTGTCCAGGCAGTCTCTCCTGAGTGCCCTGCCCAGAGGTAAGACACAAAAACTATTTCCTCTCATCCTTTGAGGTGGTCCTTCTTCTGGCCTCCCCTCTGGCAGTCTTCTCTGCAGATTGCCTTTCTGATACTTGGGCTCATGCATCACACTAACCTTCATCTACCTCCCTGGTCTCTAAGCATTGTTTCCAAATTCCAGTTCCGTTGGGGTTGTGTCTGCTTTCCTTATAATGGGGAAAGTGTCTCGGGAAGTCATTGTCTAATTTCTTCCCAAACTAAAAGAGTCAAAGGCTTACATAAAGAGGGCTGTTTCAGGCACAACCCATCACCAGAGCTGAATTCTCCCAGAACATAATCACCCTACTTGGCAAGGCATCATGTTTGGAATTAATGACTGAGCTTGTGACTGGGAACAAAAGGCACTGTAACGGTGCTTCTCAAACTTCAGAAGAATAATTGATTTGTCACAGAGGATTGATTTTGCTCCTTGGCATGGACCACTGCTGGTGCCTACAGCATCCTAAAGTGGTTAGGTATCTTCCCAAGAATGGATGAGCGACATGCCCAGGGGATAGATACACTGTCTGCAGTGGGGTTGGAAAGATGGCATTCTTCTAGTCTCAAATCAGTCTGGTCTTTAGGGAGAAAAGTGATCACTTAGGACTGAATAAGACCTTATGTTTAGAGAATCTGAAGTGGAAAAGTATTTAAATAAAATGATGGTATTGATAATACCAGGAGAGTGAAAAGAAATCAACTGAAAGCAATATAACCAACTGTGCGCTAGGTCTGCTTAGCCAAAGTGCCTCCATCTTTAGGCCCCCACCTAGGATTTTGCTTGATATCAGTTCAAAGCAGAAAAGCCCTCCCCCCACCCCAGAGTTACTTAGTCAACTTAATACCTAACCCAACCACAGTGACATCTTGTGGCCCAAGGGATCATCAGGACATCCTTAGAAACCCCCAGAGCAACCCTGCCTCATCACCCGTGGGCAGTCTGTCTGCTCTTCCATGAACCTACTTGTTAGGAAACAGTAGTGGGATATAGCTTTTTGCTGGAGATTCCCTCCTCAGACAATTTTCCCCAATTAACCTGCGCTGGTGTTGAGCCATCTTTTTGCCTATTTTCCATGCCTTTTGTGTTCTAACTGTGTGGATGGATATATGTAGTGAAATGTATGATACTGGTTGTACATGAAAATGCTGCACTGAATTAATTCATCGGAGGTAAGGCTTTCTTCAAGAAGAGCAAGGAAAGATATTTAGAAGCTGTCTAGGTTAGGAGGGTAGAAGAAACTTTAGAAGACAGGGAATACAGAAAGACAATTGGGATGGCCTTTTCCTGGCCAGTCATAGCAGAGAAGTCATGGTGGAAGTCAGGCTAGGAACAGGGTACATGGAGTCTCTCCAGAGATGCCTGGAAGGCCTGGAACTTGAGAGCAGGAGGAGGATGAGAGAGGTCATCTGCAGGAAGGAAAGTTGTTTTTTTTTTGGTTAGTTGTGGGACTTAAACTCTGGGCCTGGGCACTGTCCCTCAGCTCTTCAGCTCCAGGTGAGCACTCTACCACTTGAGCCACAGTGCTACTTCTGGTTTTCTGGTGGTTAATTGGAGTTAAGAGTCTTACAGACTTTCCTGCCCGGGCTGGCGTTGAACAGTGATCCTCAGATCTCAGCCTCCTGAGTAGCTAGGATTACAGGCATGAGCCACTGGCCTGGCCTAGGAAGGAAAGCTTTAAGAAAAGATAAGGCAATGCTAGGCATCCTGCTTCTTCACGATGTGGAAATTATAATCTTATATCACAAATATTCATAAATGTATAAGATCTATAAGCCCCAAGTACATTAAAATTTATTAGAAGACAGAATAAGTAATTTCCTTCCTAGAATAGCACATCGCTGAGTCATATTAAGACATTAGGATTATTATGAGAAAAATTATCATATAGTTTTATATCTTGGTCCTAAAGAGCCTCGATTAATAATTTATTTGCCT